CTTCCCAGGCGGCTCGGGGGTGAAGAATCTGTCTGCACTGCAGGAGATACAGTAGACCTACGTTCGATCCCTGGGTTGCGAAGATCCCCTGGAGGAGGGCGTGGCAACCCATCTCAGTGTTCTTGCCTGGAGAATCCCCATGGACAGAGGAGCCTGGTGGGCTGCAGTCTGTGGGGTCGCAAAGAGTCGGACATGACTGAGCAATTGAGCACTCATGCATGACTTGATACGGGGTTTTCATCCAAAATGACATAAACAGTTCATACAACCAAACATAAAAAAGCCCCCCAAATCACCCAGTTATTTGGGCCTCCCAGCTGACTCAGCGGTAAAGAACCCGCCTGGCACTGCAGGAGACGTAAGAGATGCAGGTCCGATCCCTGGATCGGGAAGATCCCCTGGAAAAGGACATGGCAACCCATCTCCATGCCTGGAGAATCCCATGGACAGGGGAGCCTGGCAGCTGCAGTCTGTGGGGTCGCAGAGAGTCGGACACGACTGAAGCAACTTAGCGTGCAACCCATTTAAAGACAGCCAGAAGATCTCAATGGGCATTTTCAGCTGACATTTCTGCCGAGAAGACAGGTGGGCAACAGATACTTGAAAAGATGCTCAGCATCGTTGACCTCAGAGAAACACCAATTAAGAGCAGAGTGGAAAAAAAAACCCAAACAAACCATCTTCCCGTGTCCCCGTCTTCCTCGGGGGCCTTGGGGAATCCTGCCATCATTTGCCCAGTTGTTGTGGAACTGCAAGGGGGAGACCCCCACGGGCGGCGCCTCCTTAGGCCATTTGTCACGATGCTTCCTGCAGGACCGCCCTCAGACCACCTGCAGCCAAACGGCAGCGATCCTTTGTCTTGATTGGCATCACGATGACGAAGCAATAGGAAAGGCCGATGAGAGTGAATTGCATTGCCTGTGTAGGACGGAAGAGCTCCATTCCAGAGCCCAGCTGTGCTGCCTGCTGCGAGGGTCCCCTCGCTTTAGGGGACCACCTCTCCCACGCCCAGGCGCCCCCCACTCCTCGCCCAGCTGCAGGAGCTGTGATCCTGGGGTCTCTCCTGTCTCTATGAGTCCTGGCCCTGTTGGATCGCCAGCCCCGGAGCCCCCACCTCTGAGCCCTCTGGCCGGACCAAAGCACTTGAAATCACATGAAGGCATCCTGTCTCTTCCTGGGGACCAGACATCTGAGGTCCAGGTGTCCCAGCGATGAACTCCATCCAGAGGCTCCAGGGAGGCTCCTCCCCGCCTCTTCCAGCTTCCGGGGGCTCCAGGCGTCCGTCCCTGGGCTGGTGGCCGCCTCCCTCCCATCTCTGCCTCCGTCTCCACGTGGCTTCTCCTCTGTGTCCCTGTCTCTCCTCTTCTGTGCCTTATAAGGACCTTGTCCCTGGGTTTAAGGCCACCCTCGTCCAAGAGGACGTCATCTCAGACCCTTCACTCCATCACCTCTGCAGATACCTTGCTTCCATATAACGTCATCTTCTGTGGTTCTGGGAGGGCATGAATTTTGAGTGGAGGATGCCTTTCAACCCTCTGTCATTACTGAGTTGTGAACAGTTGCACCCACGCTCAAGAAATTGCCTGGTGGCTGCGGTTTGTGATTTAACTGTGGGTGCTGTACGGTAGATTGAACAAACTCGGGGAGATGGTGAAGGACAGGGAAGCCTGGCATGCTGCAGTCCATGGGGTCGCAAAGAGTCGGACACCACTGAGCGCCCAGACAATAACAGGTGATTGCAAGCTTGCAGATTTAATAGACACCTTTTTTTTTAATTAAAAAAAATTTTAAACTGATGTATATTTGATTTACAGGACTGTGTTAGGTTCAGATGTACAGCAAAGTGATTCAGTTGGGCACACACATATATATTCAAATTCTTTTCCATTACGGCAAGATGATAGCAGTATATTATATAGTTATCTGGATATATAATCGTATAATGAATATAGTTTCCTGTTATATATGGTAACTAGGTCCCTGTTAGTCATCTATTTTAGATATAGTTGGAAAGTGAGAGTTGCTTAGTCGTGTTGACTCTTTGCGACCCCATGGACTATACAGTCCATGGAATTCTCCAGGCCAAAATACTGGAGTGGGTAGCCTTTCCCTTCTCCAGGGGCTCTTCCCAACCCAGGGATGGAACCCAGGTCTCCCACATTGCAGGCGGATTCTTTACCAGCTGAGCTACCAGGGAAGCCCATAATGAATATGGTTTCCTGTTGTATACAGTACGCAGGTCCTTGTGAGTTATCTATTTTATATATAGTCGTGTGTATCTGTTAATCCCAAACTCCTAGTATATCTCTCCTCCTTCCGCTTTGGTAGCCATAAGTTTTCTATGTCTGTGGGTAACAGACGCCTTTAATTCTTTTCTTGATATAGTGTCTTTATTTGCTTGTTTTTGGACCGCATGCAGGATCCTAGTTCCGCGCCCAGGGATTCGAACCTGTGCCCACTGCCGTGCATAAAATAGATGTGGAGCTGCCAACTATAAAATAGGTGACTGACATGCTCCCCTGGCATTAGCCACTGGAGCATTAACCACTGGACCACCAGGGAAGTCCCTTGACACCTGCTAGGAAAACTCAGCTCACCTTTCGAGTGTCCTGGCCTTCTGACTGGCAGCTCCTTGGAGCCGAACGTGTGGGCATCGCCAGCAGTGGGAGCCTGGGGACCTGAGCTCTGAGAGGCCAGGGATGCTGAACCCCAGATCGTAGGCTTCTCGGTGTCCAGGCGTTTGTGGCCATGGGGCGGGGGGCGTCCTGAGATATTCCAGGGATGGAGAATTCCCTTCCTGCCCTAGTCTGGCGTCCATTCCCAGATGCACCTGGGGAGACACAGAGAGCCTGTGAAGTGCAAAAGTCCTCTTTCTAATTTCTTCACTGAGTTATCGTTGATGTTGTTGTTGTTCAGTAATGCCTGACTCTTTGTGACCTTGTAGATTGCAGCACGCCAGGCTTCTCCATTCTTCAGCATCTCCCGGAGCTTGCTCAGACTCATGTCCATCGAGTTGGTGATGCCATCCAACCAAGTCATCCTCTGTCGTCCCCTTCTCCTCCCAGTTCAATCTTTCCCAGCATCAGGGTCTTTCCCCATGAGTTGGCTCTTCACATCCGATGACCAAAGTATTGCAGCTTCAGCTTCAGCGTCAGTCCTTCCAATGAACACCCAGGACCGATCTCCTTTAGGATGGACTGGTTGCATCTCCTTGCAGTCCAAGGGACTCTCAAGAGTCTTCTCCAACATCACAGTTCAAAAGCATCAATTCTTCAACACTCAGCCTTCTTTATAGTCCAACTCTCACATCCATACATGACTGCTGGAAGAACCATAGCTTTGACTAGATGGACCTTTGTCGACAAAGTAATGTGCTGTCTAGGCTGGTCATAACTTTTCTTCCAAGGAGCAAGCGTGTTTTAATTTCGGGGCTGCAGTCACCATCTGCGGTGATTTTGGAGCCCAGAAAAATAAAGTCAGTCACTCTTTCCACTGTTTCCCCATCTGTTTGCCGTGAAGTGATGGGACCGGATGCCATGATTTTTGTTTTATTATTTAATACTGTCTGTATTTCCTGTCTTGTCTATATTCTTGTGTCTTATTTTATACATAACAGTTTGCACCTGTCAATCTCTTATTCTTACATCTTCTCTCCCCGTTTCCTTCTCCCCACTGGTCACCACTAGTTTGTTCTGTAAATCTGTGAGTCTGCTTCTTTTTTGTTATCTTCACTAGTTTCGCGTGTATATATATATTTGGCTGCCTGTGTCTTTGTTGCAATATGCAGAATCTTCAGTTGTGACATGGGGGATCCAGTTCCCTGACCAAGGATGGAACCTTGCATTGGAAGCTTGGAGTCTTAGACACCGGACCACCCGCAAAGTCCCCATATTCACTAGTTTTTAAAACTATATTTTTTTAATTGGATTGCCTGTATAACTGAGAATCATAGAGTTATTTGTCTTCCTCGGCCTTAACTTCACTTAGTGTGATAATCTCTAGGTCCATCCATGTTGCGGCAAATGGCATTAGCTCATTCTTTTTTATGGCTGTGTAATATTCCATTGTGTCCAAGTACCACGTCGTCTTTATCCATTCCTCTGCTGACGGAGACAGGTTGCTTCCATATCTTGCCTGTCTTGATTAGTCTTGGAATGAACACTGAAGTGTGTGTATCTTTTTGAATTGTATCTTTGTCTGGATATCATGCCCAGGAATGGGACGGCAGGATCGTACGGCAGTTCTGTTTTTCATTTTTTAAAAGGACGTCCGTACTGTTCTCCATATCGGCTGCACTGTTTTACATTCCCAGCAGCAGTGTCGGAAGGGGTCCCTTTTCTCTGCATCCTTGTCAGCATGGGTTACTTGTGTTCTTTTTGATGAAAGCCATTCTGACAGGGGTGAGGTGATACCTCATGGTGGTCAAAGAGGCATCATTGAAAAACATATAATTTGAAAAAAATCTTGAATGCTGGTCTGCCAGCCTGATGTCTGCGTGTGCTGTACTTAGACGCTCGGTCATGTCTGACTCTTGGCGACCCCGTGGACCTCATCCCACCAAGGCTTCTCTGTCCGTGGGATTCTCCAGGCCAGAATGCTGGAGTGGGTAGCCATGCCCTCCTCCAGGGGGATCTTCCCAACCCAGGGATCGCACCTAGGTCGCCCAACACCAGCTCAGGTGAGGAAAGAGCTGTCATGACGAGTCCAAAGACGATGGAAACACTAAAAAAAAAAAAAAAAAAAGCAATCAATAAATGCATGTCTCCGACGCACCTGGATGGAACAGCCGCTCGCTTTTCAGATTGAGCCTCGCCGCTTTGCCACCAGCTGGAGCGGCGGCCTCGGGGTGGTCCCCACTGCCGTGCGCCCTCCGTGCGCGCACGCGTGTATGCACGCCCTCGTTTCCGGAGCCACACGGCTCCCTGCACCTGCCGGCCGGGCGGAGCCGGGCCGTCTTCTCACGCTCTTTGTTCTGCTGCTTCTCGGCAGGTCGTCCCGAATGAGCGGAGGCCCAGCCGGGGGCGGCGCGATGGAGTGCAAGAGCCTGGAGGGCGGGCAGAGCGACCTCAAGCTGGTGGCGCACCCGCGCGCCAAGAGCAAAGTGTGGCGCTACTTTGGCTTCGACACGAATGCGGAGGGCTGCATCCTGCAGTGGAAGAAGATCTACTGCCGCATCTGCATGGCCCAGATCGCCTACTCGGGCAACACCTCCAACCTGTCCTACCACCTGGAGAAGAACCACCCCGACGAGTTCTGCGAGTTCGTCAAGAGCAACACCGAGCAGATGCGCGAGGCCTTCGCCAGCGCCTTCTCCAAGCTGAAGCCGGACCCCGCGCAGCCCGGCGGTGCGCCGGAGCCGCTGGCCGCCAAGGCTGGCGCGCACGGCCACGAGAGCCGCAAGCAGCAGGAGCTGACCGCCGCCGTCATGGGCCTCATCTGCGAGGGCCTCTACCCGGCCTCCATCGTGGACGAGCCCACGTTCAGGGCGCTGCTGAAGGCGGCCGAGCCGCGCTACGAGCTGCCGAGCCGCAAGTTCTTCTGCGGCAAGGCCATCCCCGAGCGCTACGGCGCCGTGCGCGAGGCGGTGCTCAAGGAGCTGGCCGACGCCGCGTGGTGCGGCGTCTCCACCGACCTCTGGCGCAGCCCGACCCAGAACCGCACCTACGTGACGCTGTCGGCGCACTTCCTGGGCCGCGCCGCCCCCCACGGGCTGGCGGTGGGCTCCCGCTGCCTCAAGACCTTCGAGGTGCCCGAGGAGAACGCGGCCGAGACCATCACGCGCGTCCTGTACGAAGCGTTCATCGAGTGGGGCGTCCACGCCAAGGTCTTCGGCGCCACCACGGACCGCGGCAAGGACCTGGCCCAGGCCTGCTCGCTGCTCGACATCCCGGTGCACATGCCGTGCCTCGGCCACACCTTCGACGCGGCCGTCCGCCAGGCCTTCCGGCTGCCCAAGCTGGGCGCGCTGCTGGGCCGCTGCGCCAAGCTGGTGGCCTACTTCCAGCAGTCGTCCGTGGCCATGGTCATGCTTCAGGAGAAGCAGCGTCAGCAGAACGCGGCACCGTGCATGCTGGTGAGCAACCGTGTGGCCTGGTGGGGCAGCACGCTGGGCATGCTGCAGCGGCTCAAGGAGCAGCAGTTCGCCATCGCCGGGGTGCTGCTGGAAGACACCAACAACCACCACCTCATGCTGGAGGCCGCCGAGTGGGCCACCATCGAGGGCCTGGTGGACCTGCTGCAGCCCTTCAAGCAGGTGGCCGAGATGCTCTCGGCCTCCAAGTACCCCACCATCAGCATGGTCAAGCCGCTGCTGCACATGCTCCTGAACACCACGCTCAACCCCAAGGAGACGGACCCCAAGGAGATCAGCATGGCCAAGGAGGTGATCGCCAAGGAGCTCGCCAAGACCTACCAGGAGAGCCCCGAGATCGACCTGTTCCTCAACGTGGCCACCTTCCTGGACCCGCGCTACAAGCGGCTGCCGTTCCTCTCCACCTTCGAGCGGCAGCAGGTGGAGAACCGCGTGCTGGAGGAGGCCAAGGGCCTCCTGGAGAAGGTCAAAGAGGGCGCCTACCGCGCGCCCGAGGACAAGGCGGCCGCGCCGCCCGAGGAGCCGCCGCCGGCCAAGAAGCCGGCGCCCTCGCCCACCCCGCCGCCGGCCAGCGTCATCAACGACATGCTGGCCGAGATCTTCTGCCCCACGGGGGGCGTGGAGGACCAGGAAGAGTGGCACGCGCAGGTGGTGGAGGAGCTCAGCAACTTCAAGTCGCAGAAGCCTCTGGGGCTCAACGAGGACCCGCTCAAGTGGTGGTCGGACCGCCTGGCGCTCTTCCCCGTGCTGCCCAAGGTGCTCCAAAAGTACTGGGCGGTGGCGGCCACGCGCGTCAGCCCCGAGCGCCTCTTCGGCTCGTGCGCCACGGTGGTGAGCGCCAAGCGCAACCGCCTGGCCCCCGCGCACGTGGACGAGCAGGTCTTCCTTTATGAGAACGCGCGCGGCGGCGGCGCCGACGCCGAGCTGGAGGACGAGGACGAGGGCGAGTGGGGCCTGGACCACGAGCAGGCCTTCGTGCCCGGCGAGGCGGCGCACGCTGGCTTCTTCGGCGTCCGGGACGGCAGCTTCGTATAGGCCGGGGCGGGGGCCCGGGGGGCGCCGGTGGGCGGTTCCTGTTGGGATGCTCCGCTGGCTGTCGGGACTGACGCCCCCGCCACCCCAGAGCGGGTGGGCGCACTGCTGCTGGAAATGCAGAAGAGAGACAACGGATCTTTGGTGGGGGCGGGTTGTGTGTGTGCCCCAGAGGGCAGAGGTGGACTCTGGGTGGTCCCAGAGGACTGAGACGGATTCTGGGTGGTCCACAAAGAAAAAAGATGAACTCTGGGTGTCTCAGACAAGAGAGATGGACTCTGGGTTTCCCCAGAGGAGACAGACAGACTCTGGATGGTCCACAGAGGGCAGAGATGAGGCTCTTGAGGGGTCCAAACCTGGTGAAAACAAGTGTTTCCTCTGCGGGGTGGGGGCGGCGGTGGGGGATCCCCTCGTATCCCAGGAACAGGGAAGGAAATGACTTTTGAAAACCGGAGGCGTCTGCCCATCGGATTATAAATCCTCAACGCCCCCCGACGCTAGCATGGCTGGCAGGGATGCTCTGCCTCCTTCTTTACCTGCAGTGTCCATGTGCTTTGCCAGGGAGGGTCTGGGGGTAAATCAGAGACGAATGGAAACCATTCGCTGAGGAGGACAGCCCCTTCCGTGTTCCCCAAAGCCCACCTCCCCCTGAGCACCATTTGCACGCCCCCACCCCGCTGCCCCGGGCACCATCCGCAGGCTGTTATCCCCTTCGGTCCATAAAGGAACACGACTCCCTTGTCACTTACCAGGGACCTGGAGACACGCTTCAGCCACCCGCCCTGTTTTCAAGGCGTGATGGAACGTGTGACCCCTGAGCCCGCAGCGCCATCGCTTATAAAACAGCCGAAAAAGAGATACTGGGAGTGGTTTCTTTTCTGTCACCCACGTCTGTTTTGTCTCCCTGCGCGCCCTTGCCCGAATTCAGGGTCCTGGCCAGGGTCCCTAGGTCTTCGGTTCTGGAAGTGGTTTTCCTGCATCCGACGCTTCAAAGACACTTCCCAGGGGGCTCCATGGTGAAGAAACTGCCTGCCAGTGTAGGAGACCTGGGTTCGATCCCTGGGTGGGGAAGATCCGCAGGAGGAAATGGCAGCCCACTGCAGGGTTCTTGCCTGGAGAGTCACGTGGACAGAGGAGTCTGGCGGGCTGCAGTCCGTGGGGTCACAGAGAGATAACGACAGAGCGGCCGTACAACAACAATAGCCAGTTACTCACTTTTGATGGTTTCAGGGGGGGCAGCTAAGGGCCTCAGCCGTACATGTACGTGTGTCCATTCTCCCCCGAACTCCCCTCCCATCCAGGCTGCCACATGACATAGAGAGAGTTCCCCGTGCTGTCCAGCAGGTCCTTGCTGGTTCTCCACATTAAATCCAGCCGTGTGTCCATGTCCATCCCAAGCCACTAACTATCCTTTCCCCCATCCTTCCCCCTGGTGACCATCAGGTTATTATAGAGTCTTGAGCAGATCTTGAGCAAAGTTCCCCGTGCTGTCCAGCAGGTCCTTGCTGGTTCTCCATGTTAAACACAGCAGTGTGTCCATGTCCATCCCAGACTCCCTGACTATCCCTTCCCCCATCCTTCCCCCTGGTGACCATCAGGTTATCTCAGAGTATTGAGCAGAGTTCCCTGTGCTGTCCAGCAGGTCCTTGCTGGTTCTCCATGTTAAACACAGCCGTGTGTCCATGTCCATCCCAGACTCCTTGACTATCCCTTCCCCCATCCTTCCCCCTGGTGACCATCAGGTTATTACAGAGTGTTGAGCAGAGTTCCCTGTGCTGGACAGCAAGTCCTTGCTGGTTCTCCATGGTAAACACAGCTGTGTGTCCACGTCCATCCTGATCCTTTACCCAGTGATAACGGACCATGTGTACCACCAGGACTAGATGCTTTCTTTCCCATCTCCTCCTATCTCTCCCTGCTCCCTCCCCCACTCTCCTATCTTTTAAGAAGACAAGCTTCCCCAGAAACAGCCTCAGAGGTTAGCCTCTGTCCTCTTTTTCCTTGTCTGCATTTTTAGGGGTTGCCTCTCTTCTGGGGTGGCTCCAGGATGCCACATCAGACATCGAATTTTTTTCTGCACCAACACTTTGAGCTTAAATACGCCAGGGCTCAGTCATGAAAATCTGCCATTTCAGAGCTGTCTCCATCGGACACAAAAGTGGAACGTGTCGGTAAATGTCTCAGATAAAACGTCACTGCCAGCATCCAGAACTTTGCGTAAAGACACGGCCCCTAACCGTCATGAACATGTCTTATCTGGATCTGCCCAGGACTCTGCTTCCAGGAAATGGAGTGTGTTTCATGCTCAGGTCTAGCCGTCAAAGTCCTGATTCTCTGCTTCCTCTAAGCGGTGTTTGTTCCATGCTCAGTAAAGTCACGCTGAAGTCACGGTTCTCAGATGTTCCATTTTTATTTTTTCTTCTTGTGTGTGTAAGGGTACTGTTGTGTGTATTCCGAGCAGCCCCTAGGAGGATGGGCTGAAAGGAAGCATAGATCAGGGTTGTACATGTTTGTTTTGAGCGAAGGGGCGGAGGAGGCATTCCCGGCCCCTGGTCCCCCGATGTCGGGCTGATTTGCAGGCGGACGACCTGGGTGGAGGTAGCTGGGGGGGCCCCTGAGAGCTGTGTCTTGAAGCCCTTGTAAAGTGAGGTGGTGACAACAGGTGTGATCTGGCCAGGGAGAGGGGGAGGAGGTCTTCCCTGAGTGGTCCCCGGCCCGGGATCAGCAGAGTCCCATGGTAGCATCTCGCAGCGGCCAGCCTCTGGAAGGAGAACGTGGGGGCGGGGGACTGTTCATCAGGCTTCCCCAGTGGACCGCGTCAGGTCGTCGCGTCCGCTTTCTCTTTCCGTCCTTCCCCCGGGGCGGGGGTGGGGGGCGTTCACGTTTTGAGTCTTGATCAAGGCTCCATGCTCCCCTGATTCCCGTGGATGTCATTCTGGGCCCGAGGGACACGGCTTCTTCACCGAGGCTCGGGGAAGCAAATAGCCAAGCGTGCTGAGAACACGGTGGGTTTTCACGGCTTGTCCTGCTTTTCGGACGGGCTTCCCTGGTGGCTCAGCTGGTAAAGAATCTGCCTGCAATGCGGGAGACCTGGGTTCCATCCCTGGGTTGGCAAGATCCCCCTGGAGAAGGGAAAGGCCACCCACTCCAGTATTCTTGGGTTTCCCTGGTGGCTCAGCTAGTAAAGAATCTGTCTGCAAGGCAGGAGACGCCGGTTCGGTTCCTGGGGTGGGAAGATCCCCTGGCGAAGGGAACGGCTACCCACTCCAGTGTTCTGGCCTGGAGAATTCCACGGACTGTCTAGTCCATGGGGTTGCAAAGAGTCGGACACGGCTGAGCGACTTTGACATTCACAGTGATTTACAGTTTTTTTAGCTTATAGTTCTGTTTAAAGTTGTTACGAAACATTGGCGATCCTCTCTGCCTCCTGCAGTATATCCTTGTAGCTTATTTATTTTATACGTAGTACTTTGTATCTCTTAATGTAGTGGTATCTATCTCTTAATCCCGTTCCCCCGCATCCTGACCTTCCCCTGCACCCTTCCGCCAGTGCTAATCATGAGTTGGTTCTCTCGATCTGTGAGTCTGTTTCTTTTTGACCTATTTATTCATTAAATAGTTTAGATTCTGCTTATAGGTGGTAACATGCTGTTTCCGTGTGATTTATTTCACTAGATGTAACACCCTCCGAGTGCATCTATGTTGTCGGAGGTTGCAAACACTTGTTCTTGATTATGGCCGAGTAATATTCCATTGTGTGTGTGTGTGTATTCAAATTATTTATGTGTAATTCTTCAAATACAGCGAAATGCTACATCATTCTGTGGTGTTTTTTTGATTCAGTTTCACATCTACCTACCTATCTATCTATCCACATGTCCATATTCTCTTTTCGTATTCCTTCCCACTATAGGTTACGGCAAGATACTGAATTTAGTCCCCTGGGCGATATGGTAGCTCCTTGTTTCTTATTTTATATACAGCAGGATGGATCTGTTAGTCCCGAGTTCCTCATCTTTCCCTTCTCCCCTTTCCCCTTGGGGAACCAAAACTTTGTTTGCTAAGTCTGTGAGTCTCTTTCTGTCTTGTAAATGCATCCATTTATCTCATTTTTTTTTGAAGATTTCACATGGAAATCATACCATATGGTATTTGTCTTTCTCTTTCTCACCTGTTTCACTCAATGTGATCATCTCTAGGTTGGTTCATCTCGCTGCAGGTGGTATTCTTCATTCTTTTTCATGGCTGAGTAATATTCCACTGTATGTATATGTACCACCTCTTTTTTACCCATTCCTTTACTGATGGACATTTAGGTTGCTTCCATTTCTTGGCTATTGTGATGAGTGCTTCAGTGAACATTGGGACGCATGTATCTTTGAGAATGATGGTTTTCTCCAGATATATATGCCCAGGAGTGGGATTGCAGGACGATTCAGTAGCTCTATTTTTAGGTTTTTTTTTATTTGAGGAACTCGCGTATTCTTGTCTGTGGTGGCTGCATCCATTTACATTCCCATCAGCTACTGTGAGAGGGTATTCCTGTTCTTTTTGATTGTGTTTCTGTTGTTGAGAAACATAAAACGCATTGATAAACATACTCGCCATCTGACCAAGAAGTGTGGTAAGCCCCAAGGGCCAGAGCTTCCCCGTCCTCCTGCAGCAGGAGGTTTTTCTGCCGTTTTCCTTCTTTCTGGGACCAAAATCTGAGTCTGTGCAGTTCATCTGGTTGGAGAAACAGCCCGCGTCTGTTTCCACACACATGTCGTTTCTGTGCCCGTGTCGCTTGCTCCCTTTGACTGTTAAATCTGTCCTGTACGCCGATGTTTAACCATCCGCCGGGGGCCGTCTGTGGCTCCTAGAAGTAGTGATAGCATTAGTTGCTTAGTTGTGTCCAACTGCCTGCAACCCCACGGACTGTAGCCCGCCAGGCTCCTCTGTCCGTGGCATTCTGCAGGCACGAACGCTCGAGTGGGTTGCCATCCCCTTCTCCGAGGGCAATC